ATTGACAATTTGGACCCTGGGGGAACGGAGGAATGTGAAAATTTGATTGTTTATTGTTTTCATGTCCTGTTTTTTGAGAATTCGGCCAATTTTGTCAGTTTCACCTTTGATATAGGTAGGGAAAGCTTTGTGAGGAACATTGTTGTATTTCAGATCAACTGTGTTATATCTGACTTACCGCAATATGGTGTAATAGTCACCAATACATACTTCGAAAATTGTGTTGCCAATACTATTATTTTTTCTTACATCCAAGTACGTGGAGTTATCGCAGAAAATACGAGTTGTGTTGACATTCGATGGGTCGTTTCGATTGTGTCAAATGGAAAAATTTTTTTGCTGGTAATTGATAGATTCGTTCTATTCTTTACCACTCCATAAAGGGTGTTAAGTCGAAGTTGATTGTCAGTATTTGAAAGCTAAATTCTCTGATTGCTACTTTTCATTCAAAGTGATTATTATCTATACTGTATTGATCAAACAATGGATATATGCAAAAATCGATTCTATTTATTTATCATTGTTTTGCATAATTGGAAACTTTGATGTTACGCGTCTAGATAGTGTCTTTATGGGGATATATAATAATCCATGTAGATATAGGATCTTGCCAGCTAATTCCACTGTCTTATATAAAGATAACTTTTTTTGAAATGTGGTGTTCTTTTATCATTAATATCTTAATGCTTGAAGATTTCATGCTTATATTTCATTTTTATATATGTAACTGATGTCTATATCACTTCATCTCTTGTATGAATGTTTCTTAGTAGTCATATACGTTTTCTTGCAAGACCACGTCGATATCTTAGAAATCAAGGTCAAATGAAAATATTGATATTATTCACATTCACATTGGAAATTGAAAGCAAAAAGAATTGTTAATCGCAAAATAGTCTGCTTGACTAAATTATTAATACTCCTACCCGTTATTTGGAGGAAACTAATAGCACAATCCATTATAATGTATATATAATGCTTACAATGAATTTCATTTGAGATGCGTCATCAATAACTAGTCACTGATGAAGTTACCATGTAGCGAAACGCGTCTTGAATAGAATTTATTGTGAATATTTTATAATTATTTTCATGGATATATTTAACTGAATGAAAAAATCTATACTGAATATTATCGTCAAAACTGGGATAGTAATTGGATGGACGGTAGCCTGGTGGGTTGACGTGGGTAGGTCAGCTCCACTCAGACAATCGACCGCTGTGCGAACCGGTGATTCCAACCGCAAGACCGAACGATCGATTTTCACTTTCTATCGTCCAAGCCGTGTTAGGAATCACACGCTAGAAAGTAAGACCTCGTTAGTCCTCAGCTCGAACAAGTTTCGACTTTCGAGATTTGTAGTCCATGGAGGGGCAACTGCTGGTTAACGAAAAAACATATTTTAACAGAATTGATAGTGATAACCTTAAGAACAATCAAAACCCCGTGTTTCAATATCCATGAAGAATAAATATCGGAAATAGTACAAATCTTATGTACTACTGACACACACATTTCTCAGAAACAGGAACATACTCAAATATTCGAACAAAACCAAAATGATGAGGAGTAAAATAACCACGGAAAACCAACAAACAAGTGTTCAACTTAATCATCAAGTGGAATTCGTCTGCTTGGACGGAAGCCAAGTCGAGGCAAAACATAACATTGTCCCAAAAATAAAGTTGATCATTGACATCCAATTAACTCATTTTGTATATCTCCAACACTTCGATAGTGAATAAAGAGCCTCTCTGCCAATGCACTGGAAATAATTATAATGTCTTTTGACATTGCGACTCACATTAAAAGATTTATCCACAGGATGATCCGTATTTTTCTCAATAGACGCTATACTCGCTCTGATTTCACTTAAAAAATATATTTTTTTCGATTCAGGCTGTTCTCTGATTGTCTCGTGAAACAATCGAAATATCGATTTGAAATTTTCAAATCGATTCTCTAAATGTCGAAGGTCTCCCAATTCGAAGTCCGATTGTGAAAATCAAAAATAAATGAAATAATAAGCTCTTTTTGTTTTATGATTTATCTAAAGCCATCGACATAGTGTTACTTAAATTTCTAGCTCATATATGCTTCCATGTTCAATAAATGTTCTTGGAATGAAATGTCCTTGAACTTTATCATCGATTCGGTTTTCATTTCCTCAATTGTCGCAAAACACCGTCTTTTCATGAGTCTCTTCAATCTTGGGAACATGAAAGAGTCGCAGGAGGCTAAATCTAGTGAATACGGGGCTGAGGCTTGATCACAGTGTTGTTTTTGGCAAAAAAATTACGAACAAGATATAGTCCGGGAGGTAGTGTCACTTTTTTATAAGTCATTTTATGCTCAATGCAATTCAATCGATGAAGTATTTTTTATGTTACGAAATACCAAACCGAGCGTCAGATCGCGCGACCTTAGTGGGTAGAGTCGGAGGAAGCTGTGGAAGATAACCAGTAATTTAAAAAAAAGTGATTTTATGCACTGCATTATTTTCACAGTTCATTATTCTCAAGGTATATTCAACTAAAAAAGTCGTCAGATATAGTTTTTTGAGTATAAAAAATAAATATAATCGTCAGAAGACATGAACGTGGTGGAAAGTTCGTCAGTTGGACCGCAAAAGATGCCGCGCGCTTGATTCTTTCCAAGAGCTGAGATCCACTTCGATTGTTCGACTGACGGCTTTCGCACTATTTCCATAACGTCTGACGATTATTTTTGAAGTTTTTATGCTACAAACTGTCAACTAAAAAATTTCATTCTGCATACTATTACTTTTTTTTTCGAAATTCAGGATTACGTTACTACGCGTGACTGACGAACAATCCACCCGCAGATCAAGATCTGACGACTTTTTTAGTTGAATATACCTTGAGAATAATGAACTGTGAAAATTATGGAGTGCATAAAATCTTTTTTTTTTTAATTACAGGTCATCTTCCGCAGCTTCCTTCGACTTTACCACCGCTATTGGAGAGTCTGACGGTCGGTTTAGTATTCAGGTATATGGAAACAACTTTAATGAGTGAATTGCATTGTGCATAAAATGACTTATAAAAGTGACACTACCTCCCGGACTACAACTTTGCTGTCACACGCTCCAACGCTCACACTTTACTAATAGTGATTCTACGATTCTCCATAACAATTTTCTTCACTTTCTCAACATTTGCATCGGTTGCATCATCATTCACATCTTCTCGACCTTCTGTGAAAAGCTTGTACCACTTTTAAACATTTTTCCGACTCAGAGTACAATCACCGTATGTTACTGTCAACATTTCAAATGTTTTTAAGCACTCAATTCCATTTTCACACAAAATTTGGTTCACATTCTTTAATCCATTTTTTGTCGATACTAGAAAATCGCCAAACACGCGGAACAGTTTAAACTTTTATGGCTCTCACCAACAGAATGAATATGATAAACAGCTGAGTGTACCAACATTAAGAAATCGCTAATCCAATGGGAGTAGCCCGAGAAATTCACACACTCACCTTATTTTTTGAACAGTCCACGTACTGTAGGTCTTGAATATGTCAGATAATAGAACAATGAGTCCCAAATGTCAACCTTCTAAAGAAGGTTGAGTTTGGTGTTACCACGACTCGGTTCTAGGTCCACTGTTTCTCCTATACCTGTATGTCAAGCACCTACCACTAAATGAAGTAGATATGGTAGATAAGGGCTATGTATATTCGAAGTAAACGATATTGTGCACTCCTAAAGTTGGCGGCACTCTCAAAGGCCAAAAAACCAATACATAGCAATGAACCGTCAGCGAACTAGTCCACGTGGACTGAAAAATTGGCGGTTCGTATTGGATAATTTTTACTAACCGAGTTTTATGATTGTCTGAAGAGTCATAAAATTAAATTTGAAGTTATGTTACGGTGTCGAATAGAAATCGGGGAATGTGGGGATGGTTATCGCCGTCGTGTTCAGTTCAGTAACTGATCGCGATTTGAGTGTTGAAATTCGAGTGTGCAGTTATAATTACTTACAAGTTTTGTTATCTATTTAAAATATGGCGTTCTTGGACAAGTACTAATAGTAATAACGGGTGTGATAACAACACAGATTTTTTCCAGTGTAGTGATTCCAATAGCAATGGTGAACAATGCGAAAATGAGATACCAGTGAACAAGATTCGGATGCATTTGAATATTGAAACATAGAGAGTATGTTTCAATGTGTATAAGAATCTACATCTCAAGTTTAGTTTCGAGGGAAACAAACTATTACAAGCAACATCAGATTTGACCGAAATTTCTTTCTCAATTGTACGTAAAATAGTCAAAAATAAACCTCATGAATGCAAGACGCAATGTGATACAGGATTACCGAAACCTTCAGATGTTCATCTAATAAAATCATTGAAAAAACAATATATGACTGCAAGGAGATTCCTGCAACTGAAATCATAAGAAAGAAATTGAATACTAACAGGCATAACGTGAGAAAACTCTTCAGAATTGGATAAGGAAACTAGAATTTGTATTTAAAATAATAAACAAACGTCAAGAAGTTATGGAAAGCAGAAGAATAGTGGAATTGCTTAACAAATATTTAGAACAAATAACAAAATATAGACAAGAACAACGGTGAACTTTCTATTTGGATGAATCTTGGTATGATACTCTAGACACAGTTACGAAAGGGTGAACTGATGGTTCGAGAATGTGTACGCCTAACATGCCTGCAAACAAAGGATCGCGACTAATCATTGTGCATTGCGGAGAAAGTAAAGGATGTGTTCCGAATTATTTGAAATTATGTGGAAAAAACTTGGAGTACCGCAATGTTGACTATAATAAGAATATGGAAGCTAATATTTTTGAGGAATGGTTTGAAAATAGGTTGCACTGTATGGTTTACTTGAACTATACCTTTATTGAAAGTAAAATCGATTGTAAAGACGACTACGGTTTCCGATTTGAATATTTCATATTTCATTTGATATGCTACAAAGTTCATCTATCCTCTCACCTTCATTAGTGGTCTCAAACCGAATTCATCAGCATATTGATTCAGAAAGTCCAAAATTTCTTGCCGGGGAAGATATGACCTTTTTTCTTTTGGCACTGGAAAGTCCATAAATCCCATAACTTCTTTTGGGAGGTTAGTCCTAGAAAGAAATCAAAATCGTTAATTTACTCATGTCTGGTGGCAATATATTCAACAATGCATCCTAACAATATCTAGTTTTCCTGTTCTAGTACTCGATAATTGACTTGACTTTTATGACATGCTCCAAGTGACTGTCTCATGTCGATGGCTCAATATATTCATTGCAAATAATCTGCCCATTGCTCGGAATCATAACATAGTGTTACTACGAACTAAATTTCATGATTTTTTGTTTGAGGTGATTACATATTCGATTCCAATTAGATAATTACTATGTGACCAACGATTTGCAATGGAAATTTGTATTGAATTGATTCAACCCGAACTTTAGTCATATTTATGGGTGCGAATTCTGTTGAACTAGGAGGACTCTACGTTTGTCCTCTTCTAGTACAGCTTGGCAAATCTAGTTGTTTAAAAAATCTGTCTAAATCTGTTTTTCCGTTAACCAGCTATCGCACCCTACGAACGACAACCCTCAGAAGTCGAAACTTGTGCGAGCTAAGGACTAAGGAGGTCTTACCTTTTAACGTGTGATTTCTCTGAATATTGGATGCACCCTATATCGGAAGATGCAGTCATATCAATGAAGACTATCTTTCAAAATTATTTTGTCGCATACTGGGTGATTCAGGCGAGCGTGGTCAACCAAAGTTATATTTTTTAAATGGAATACCCAGTATGTGAATACGTTATTCGATTCCATTTTTTTTTAATCTCTCTAAGGAATTATTGTTTTCGAATTTGCATTGCGGCATTGACAAGTTATTCCAGAAAAAACTATTTTACAGACAATATTTTTTTAATTCACCACCCACATGTCTACAGCAATTAAGTGGATTTTTTTTAAGAAAAGTTAGTCAACCTATCTAGGATAATTTCTGGAATCTTAACTTTCGGAAACTATATAAAAGGTTCTCGGTAAAACAGGACGAGTTTTATTCATTTTCACCTTTTTCAAATGGAACACCTTGTATTTTTTCATTTGTATGAAATATTTCAACATTTCACTTCATTTTTTATAAGAGGTATACTATAAGAAAAAATAATATTTTACGAATTATAGCAAGTTTTAGCAATTGTTGTAACCACAAAAAATATATTTTTTTACGTTCACTTGCTCAAATTTGTTTTTCGAATATTCAAACTAATCGCCAGTACATTAGCATTTTTCATACCATTTGGTGATAGTTATTGGCGGTTTCAACGGTAAGAAATGCGTAAAAAACCTAAAGAATACTTATACTGCTTTTTTCTTTGAAAACTCTGTTAGCCATGACACATCAAAAAATGAATTTCGGAATTTGTCAATAACTCCATATGTTGGAGTTTATTTCGCGTGTAGGTTGAATCATTTTCATTGTGAATTATGTATTGGAAGATATGGTGCAAATGGTCTATGATTTGGAAACAAGTGACGGAAACTGCCTCCTTGCATCTAGGATTTACAAAGAGGAGTATCCCGAAAGAAGACAACCAGATGGAAGGGCATTTCAGGCTCTAAAAACAAGATTTAAAAGAACTGGTAATATCAATCACGAGAAGTTCGAACGTGTCTGCCCTGTAACACATGAAGAGGATACATTTCAAATTGCTTTTCACCTTGTTGAGAATCCCCATGTGAGTACCCGAGACTTGAGCAGGGAATTAGGATTTGCTTTAACCAGCGTGTCTCGAATGATACAAGCAAGAAAATTGTATTCTCATCACATGCAATTGATGCAAGAGTTAAGAGAGAGATATTTTGAAAAACGTGTTAAATTTTGCCGATGGGGCTTACAAAAGATCAATAAGGAAAATTATTTTTTTGATTTGGTGTTATTTTCTGACGAAGCTAGCTGAAACGTGTAGAGAATTCGTTTGAAAAACGACTGACATTATGTGTTGCAGAAAATGGTCGCCATTTTCAACATCTTCTGTATTCTTTTATTAAAAAAAATTTAGGTATTATTGTTCATTTTGAAAAAGTGAAAGTAAATAAATGGATTTTTTTGTGGTTACAACAATAATTAAAACTGGGTATAATTTGTAGAATATCAGTTTTTTTGTATGGCATACCTCACATAAACATGTCATACGAATGAAAAAGTTTCATTTGAAAAAGTTGAATTAGTCTGTTTGAAAATACATGAAACTTGACCGTTTTTACCGCAAGCATCCTATATATTGTTCCCAAAAGTTGAGATTCCAGAAATTTTCATAGTGATTAAATTTTCCTAAAAAAGGCCACCTAATTGCTGTAGACATGCGGGTGGTGAATTAAAAAATTATTGTCTGCAAAATAGGTTTTTCTGGAATAACTTGGTAATGCCGCAATGGAAATTTGAAAACAAAAATTCCTTAGAGGGCTTAAACAAATATGGAATCTAATGACGTATTCATATGCTGGGTTTTCTATTTAAAAAAATATAACTTTGGTTGGCCATACTCGGCTGAATCACCCAGTATGCGAGAAAATAATTTCAAAAGATAGTATTTATAAATATGACTGCGAAAAAAAATTGGGCAATTCGAAAAATTGTTTTCACTGATAGCAATGGACCCAAGAAATCTTGTTAACTCACCCTGTAATTGTTTTTAGTCCATGCGTACTATTATTTTTATTGAATTATATCATATTATGCGAAACAAGATTTCATCATTTATCGCTATTTTTCAATTATTCAAGATATCCGTAGAACTAATAAGTACTACATATTTTTTATTAATGTAGACTTGATCTTGATTGCTAATTTTCAAATTATCATACGGTATATTGCTCTCATAGTTCATGTCAAGGAATGATATGACAGTGTCAGTAATAAAAATAACTATTTGAACGAAGACAAGGAAGGTAGATTCATACTTATACAGTAAGCACCATATGTAACGGATAAATTAATTTTCTACGTTATTAGCCATTTTCAAGAAAAACCCTGAAACACGTCAAATTATGTATTCGAAAAGACACTTTGTGACATAAAAAATCCCCCCTCCCCAACGTGACAGCCTCCCCCCCAATTTTTTTAAATGCAAAAGGGGACCAAGTGATAACTCATTTTGAAGGGTATTCAATTTTATGTACAGCCATATCTTCATTTTTTAATTTCGTGCATACGTCAAAAAAAACAATTGAATAAATTGTGTTATGTAAATCATTTATTGAAGCGGTAGCAATCAATGTATAACTAATGGAAGTCTTCAGATCAAATGTTCAAACTGCCAGTCATTTGTTTCTTGATAATGATAAAGGCGTTGCTGAAAGTTACCAACAACATCTTGAATGGTTTCGGGAGTGATACGTTCTATTTCTTCTCTAATTCTGATCAGCAAAATTTGAATATTGTTTGGCCTATTGACGTATACTTTGGATTTTAGAAAACCCCACAAAAAGTATTCAAGCGGTGTCATGTTGGAAGAACGGGCTGGCCACTCAATGACACCTCGTCTACCAATCCATTTGTTGGGAAAAACTTCATTCAGATATGAACGAACGTCAGCTGCAAAATGTAGTGTGGAGCACCATCTTGCTGATACCAGATACCCTCCATTATATGGAAAAGTCTTTTCAGTGTTAGAGCTAAAAAATTAATCAAAAACTCCAAGTAACGTTCACCGGTTAATGTTTCGTTGAGAAAATATGGTCTAATTATGCGATTATTTATAACCCCTGCTCAAACATTTACTTTTCTGGGATATTGAGTGTGGGCCTCCATCATCCAATGGGGTTTTTCTTGACTCCAATATCGACAGTTCTGTCTGTTGACGGTTCCATTTAAAGAAAAGTTGATTCGCCGAAAAACAATATATTTTTCGAAGGATCCCGCTTCCTGGCTTCCATTATTTCGCAAAACACAGTTCTGCAAGTTGTCGGGTAGGTTTATATGGATTCTCCTCGATGTCTACTAAATATCCAATCAATACACTCCTGCCTGGTTTTGAAATATCTTTGATAGTCCCAAATTCACGAAATTTTGTTTCTATTCCACTAACGGTAGATTGAGAAATATGATCATCAGGATATTTATTATTAAATATTTCACTTGAATTCTTCTGGGTTCTAGTTTTTGTCCCCTACTCTTTGACGTTCAGTCAAATGAGACATTGCTAGAACTTTTAGCCTATTGTCTGAAAGTAATACTGAACAAGAAACACAAACAACAACTGCAAACCTGTTTCTCTTCAGCAAGTTCACAGAAAACATACAATCTTTTACTCAACTGTCACGGCTGACAAACAACGGTTGGTAAAAACACAAAAAAACTGAAGGTGCATGGCATATTGTACAGCGGACGGATTCAATGTAATACCTACGTGATACTTCAACACATTGAATTTTTTTGTTTCATCATAACGCATGGATGAAATCAAAAAATAAAGATATGGCTGTACAGAAAATTGAATACCCTTCAAAATGAGATATCACTTGACCCCCTTTTGCATTTAAATAATTGGGGGGTGGCTGTCACGTTGACGGCGTGAAGGAGGGAGGATTTTTTTATGTCACAGAGTGTTTCTTCGAATACATAATTCCACTTGTTTCAGGGTTTTTCTTGAAAATGGCTAATAACGTAGAAAATGAATTTATCCGTTACGACGAAAAGAGAAATGAAAATTTTTATGTTTATTATCACTTTTATTTGTAACTAACGTTACTACAGTTTAGTCCTATACGGACATTTTCAAACTTATACAAGGAAGGATTGCAAACTCAATTATTTAGAATCCTTGGAAATTCACAAGCATAAACATTGCGGGTGCAACCTGTTAAATGATCAAATCGATTTAATTCACTCTCCGGTTTTTAAATTGGTATATCCGCATTGTGAACTGTAAATTCAGGTTCTCAATCAAGTCAAGTACTTCTATTCTTATTAGTACCTGCAGGGGTGGTATATAATAGCGAATGTAATGAATCATTGTTAGTTTATTGTATAAGTTTGAAAATGTCCGTATAGGACGAAACTGCAATAACGTTAGTTACAAATAAAAGTGGTAAAAAACATAGAAATTTTCATTTCT